AGCCAGGGCTACACAGTGAAACCCTATCCTGAAAAACCAAAAGAAAAAAAAAAAAGATGTATGTGATTCAGGCCCCAGTGGTGAGAAATTTCTTGGGGACAAATTCAGGTTACCCATGTATATTGTTCATTCCCTTGAGTCATTTTTGTGGGGCACTATTGGCCGAAACTCCTGACTTTTAGAATTCTGGACCATTCAAAATTATCCTTCAGGAATGAATCTTTGGAGTAAGCAAGTATACTAGGCTAATTGGGGCCTGGAAAGGACATAACAAACACTCCATCAAGCTTCATTTGGTTTCATGTAGATCTCATTTTAAAACATTTACACCCAGTGAGAGTACTCAGTGAACAAAGGAACTTGCTACCAAGATTAATGACCTAGGTAAGTTCCATCCCTGGGACCTATAAATGGAAGGAGAGAAGCAACTCTTACAAGTTGTTCTCTGATTATGCGTGCTATGACATTCTCTCTCTCTCTCTCTCTCTCTCTCTCTCTCTCTCTCTCTCTCACACACACACACACACACACACACACACAATGTGATTTTAAAATTTTAAACAGTAACTAAATGAATATATCAGTCATTTCTTCCTTAGAGTGATCAATGGGAAAGCCTGATCAATTCTGGAGTCCAGCTCTTTGGGATCAGACCTGGGTGATCTAGACAGACCTCATACCAAAAACTAGAAGAGATGGAAACAAAAGGTCCAGGCAAGATCTAAAAATTATTTTCTTTCTGTGTCAATTCTGAAAAGGGACCCCAGCCTGCTGCAGACTGGCAAACACTGAGCCATTGATAGTTAGAAAGAGCCTACATAGGCTTTGAGTTAAAATACTCTGGTCTTTCAGGCCTGGTGCAGCCTCTAATATCCACTTTGGAGGCAGGGAGATCAGAAGCTCAGGACAGCTTAGACTATTTCTTGAATTTGAGGCCAGCCTAGGCTGCATGAAGACCTAATCTCAACAAATAAACAAACAACAAAACAAAAGAAGCTAGAAAGATGGCTCAACATTTAAAAGCACTTGCAGAGGACAGAGGTTGAGTCCCATCTGCAACTCCAGTTCCAGGGAATCTGAAGCCCTCTTCTGGCCACTGAGGGCACTGCACACACATGGTACGTAGACAACTTGCAGGCAAAATACTCATACACATTTTAAAAAATTTAGACAAAAAAGACCCTCCTTCCTCCATAACACCGAAAGAGAAAAAAATAACCACTGGGTTTGCTTTTGATTTTGAGATAAGATTTTACTATATACCCCAGACTGGCTGTGCAGGAACTCACTTTGTAGACCAGGCTGGCCTCAAACTCACTCTGACTCCCAAGTACAGTATTAAAGGCATGCACCATCACTCCTAGCCTCTCCAAGACTTTTTAATCCTCCTGCCTCAGCCTCCCAAGTTCTGGAATTGCCAGGAATGTACCACCATGCAGAGATTTATTTGCTATATTTTTCATTATCAATTTGTTGTTGTTTGAGGTGGGATCTTGTTGTCTCAAATTTGGAGCCATCTCTTTATATCAGGACTTCCAAGTTCTGGGATCATAGGCATGCTCCACCATGCCTGGATGGTCTGGTTTTGTTTGTTCATTGAATTGTTTACATTTATTTATTTAGAGTGTGTCTATACACATTTAGAGATGAAAAGTTTTTAGAGTCAGCTCTCCTTTCATTATGTGGGTCCCAGGAATTGAACTCGGGTTACCTGGCTTGCAAGCAAGCACTTTCACCTGCTTTTTATATGTATATAATGTGTATGTGATTGTACATGTATGCACATTAACATGTAAATGCCCTTGGAATTGAGAGAAGATAAAGTTGGAGCTGGAGTTATAGGCAGCTATAAACTGCCTGACCTGGGTGCTGGGAAACAAATTCAAGTCCTTTGGAAAAGCAGCAAATTCTCAATTCTCTCTCTCTGTCTCTCTCTGTCTCTCTCTCTCTCTCTCTCTCTCTCTCTCCCTCTCTCTCTCTCTCTCTCTCTCTCTCTCTCTCTCTCTCTCTCTGTGTGTGTGTGTGTGTGTGTGTGTGTTTGAGTCAGTGTTTCTTTGTGAAGCCCTGACTATCCTAGAACCCATTATAACCAAGCCAGCCTTGAACTCACAGCTCATCATGCCTCTGTCTCTCAACTGCTAGGGTTAAAAGTGTGTGCCTCATGGCCAGGTGGTGGTGGCGGTGCACGTCTTTAATTCCAGCACTTGGAAGGCAGAGGCAGGTGGATCTCTTCGAGTTCAAGGCCAGCCTGTTCTACAGAGCGAGTTCCAGGCCCAGGCCCTGCTTCTGTGTTTTGAGAATGTCTCCAGCATGCCAGATGGAGGAGGATAACCTTGAACTTCTGATTGTCCTGCCTCCTGAGTGCTGGATTTGCAGCTGTGTGCCACCATTCCTGCTTTTCATAGTCCTGGGAATCTAACCCAGGGTTTTTTTATGCTAGGCAAACACTCTACTTCAGTCCCTGAGGATATAGCTTTAACATTGATCCATTTATTGGCTGGGACCACTGCTTCATCAGTTGTTTTCTCTCTAAAATGGAAGAGAGGAAGACTATTAGAACCTCTGGGGTTGGGGTGGGGGCTTCTCTGTGTGGTAATGGGGCATGGTAATCAAGTTGGCAGCACCCCCTGTATCCCACATAGGGAAAGCAATCTGGAAACCCTAGGCTACAGTGTCCCTGAAGATAATTGGAGTCTCTGGAAAAGAAGTGTTACAGACACTGGGGAAGAGAATGGGAAAACAACAGGGTTTAGGGGGAATGCAGAAATTTGGAAGAAAAAAATCCAATAAAAAGCAGAAAACACATGGGAAGCACAAATTTGTTAACCCTTTTTTGTTTTGTTTTTTGTTTTTGTTTTTGTTTGTTTGGGTTTG